GCGGCAACCAATTTAAAAATCAAAAAAAGAAGAAAAATTGCATCGCTTTCACAGCTTCCCGGGCCCCCATCGAGTCTTGGGTCCGGTCCTACTGTGTGAGGTAGTAGTACAGACACCAGAATCACGAGTAGCTAGTGAATAACCTCACTCTTTATTGTAGACCACATATTCATGTACACTAAGGAGCCTATCAACATTTCACAGGTTATGAGCAACAAGGACTTACCTCCTCTCATCTAGCTCATTAACCATCATCAGACCACACAGCAGACCAATTTACTGCTCACTTTCCAGCATCTGCAGAGCATGACCAGCTTTGCGATCTGGATCTTTCCCCGGAAGATAATTTCGCGAAAATTTCCAGATGAGAGGAGAACCAGGTACTAAATCACGTAGAATTCTACGCAACCTTCTCCTCGGAACCCTAGTGACACCAACCTTCTGCTGCACTGTCACTAACCACTAACCAACACCATCCTTTAGATATCGCAATCCACGCATAATCCAGCAACCATGGTGAAAACCAAACGCACTCCGCAACAACACTCATCCAAAAAGGACCGGGGAAATAAGGCCTCTCACCCCATACGAAACTACCTTATTCCCTCCCCAAGACAACTCAGTCATCGGGGACAGCGACGCCTTGAACTAACTGTATTCGATGGGACCATCCAACGTGAACTCTGCACTCTGGAACTCCTATTCCCTACTAACTCAACCCCATGCATCTATGATGGATCACTCTTTTCATTTAAACCAATGCGGGTACCCAACACCGCTGCCTATAACAACAGCATCTGCAACCACACCACTGAACTTCCAGACAGTGACAAAATTGTCATGCTCAGGGAAGATCTCAGTTCCCTAATTCACCACAACCACTTCCATCGCCCACTGCCTAATAATCCCAATGAAACCCCACGATATCAGTACAGTAGGCCCTACTCACCCACATGTACTCACTGCTTCCCCTTCATCAGGACACTCCTCCAGCCACAATTACAAAACGTCGACAATCCAGACCTCCTCAACGCATGGAATCAAGTCCTGATATATCACCATCACACTCCCCGCGCCGGGATGTATGCTCACAGATACAAACTTGTAATGAGACCAACTCAGATAGTGAATCAACCTCATCCAGCAGCAACTCGCTACCAAGACCCCCCGCCGATCTCCAGGAAAGATTTTCAGCTGAATACCGCGACGCCACGAGAGCCAATACTCTCCGGACCCCCTCACGATCCACACACAATGGAGATCCTTCCCTTGCTACACAAAATACCAGTACTGAGGAAGGTGACAACGGCAACACTGGTGAAGACAATCAACCAACAAGTATGGATAGTATTATCAATACGTATGATAGGGAATTTGTAAATATCGACAACCAACTCGATACCATTCGCAACAGTCTCCAGGATGATTCCCCTCCTCAGGATAACAGACCAACATCACCAGATCCCCAACTGCTTGAGCTGATTAACACGGCTGTCACCCGCAATTCATCAACCTGGCAAGCAAAACTGACCACTGCTTCAAAGGAATGGACTACGCAATTCCAGTCGATCAAAAACACGGTGGAGACAATGCAAACAGCAATCACAACCAAAGATCAGAACATTGAAAAGGCCCACAATGATCTCACTCAGGCCAGAAACACCATTCAGCATCTTTCATAACAACTTGAACAGGCGTTAGCACAAAACCAAGCACTCACCCAACAGCTCTCCACCGCTGCAACACTATCTCAAGATCTCTCTACGGCGGCATCTACCACGTGGGCACTGGATCAACGCATCAGCAAAGCATCCACTGTCCTTTCAAGCCTTAAGTCTCACATAATTGCCCTCTCCGCATCACTTGATGAGGCCAGTAGTATTACCTCTATAACACCAACTCCCACAGAGATCAACCAACTCTTTGAACAAATAATCACTCAACAGAAGACTGACCTGACTAATCTTGGACAACAAATTGAGACCCATACAGCCGCAACAGCATCAAAACACATCAAGACGATGGATACTACCTTTCAGGATATCAAATCCAGAATTCAGACTATAATTAAACAAAGCATTGAGGACTTGGCTTCAACAAAGCAGGAACCAATTGTTCAAAGCATCAATGATAAAATATGCACAGTGGCTCTCCAGGAAGTTACAACACAAACACATGCTTTGTCAGATCAATTCAAAACTGAGGTACAGCAGACCAATAATCACCTCAAGCAAACTACACAGAACATGCTGACTCAACTCCACTCCACACACGCTGACCTGACTACACGGATCTCCGCAGAAACCACAACTGCAACTACCACCTCTGTGGAACAGGCTGTAACAGCTCAACTTAACTCTGATATCGTTGCAGCCAACATTGCAGACCTCCTCACTGACTCCCTCTCCTCCATTGTGAAATCGGCTCGCTTCACCACTAATATGGACAAAACACTGACCAAATGCATTGAGGAATCTGCAACCTTAAAAGAACTAATCTTCCAAAATGTTCAACTGGCGATACATGCCTCTGATCACTTCAATCTAAAGACAGCAACACAGCCTCATTCACAACCAGTCGATGCATCTGACCCTGAGGATAAAGAGAGGGACCGACCAACACCCCCATCGGACACAGATTCAGATACAATTGAGGACCCAGACGCCCCCTGGACAAAGGATAGGAATCCAAGCCGTCGCTGGTTCCGATCACAACAGATCACAACGTGTCCATGAATACAAGGCACAGCAAGATCGCATTGATAATGACATTACCCATGCTCGCAATCATCGCATTAGCAAAGCCATCAGAGCCTTGGAACACAAGCACATTAACTCCAATCTTCTTCCTCACAAAAATCAATATCTTACATCCACCGAATTCAATGCTATATACAACGACCTATACAGCATATTCACCCTTGAAAGTCTCCCTTTCACCCACATTGATGAACTCCACATCCATCACAGCTGTCTTCCCCCAAATCACGATGAATCAGAGGAAAACATTTGTAAGATTAGTACTTTTCTCTATTAACGACTCTCCCAAACAATTGATGCATCCTTGACCAAATTTAGAGGCCTTATCACACCATCAGGCCATCGCATGGACGGCTATGAAGCCCTGTTTGCGATAGCAAGCAATTCTCTTTCCTATCTCCGTCCAACAGCCACAGGATGGGGACCAGCTTGGTCTCCCGACGATGAACCAGGATCATATGCTGGCAAACTCATTGAATTTATCCGACACAGTCGGCTTTCACGACAGCATACTTACACTGAACTTGATCAAAGCTTCAAATTGCTGCACAAATAATGAATAACTATAATTTTGCAGAGCTCAACACCTTTAAACGCACGAATCCCGACCCGACAACCATCATACCCCCTCAGCACTTACGACTGGCTTCAATGATTGCCATGGTTCTTGATTACCCAAGCAATCCACCCTCACTCACTCACACCGACCGAGTGAACCCTCAAATTCACAGGGTTGACACGCCAAGAAAGAAATTTGAATACAAGAACAAGGTTCAATGCCAGTGCTGCAAAACATACGGATACGACGTGGGAGAACAAATCTGTAGATTTGGCGCCCAACTCCATCATGCTCAACAATATGCAAAGGACCATCCGGATGAATTCAACCACAATGCGGACAAACACCTTCGAATGCATATGACCAAGGTTGTCAAACTCTTTGAGGCAAAACTGGGCACCTCGATATCTACCAAAACCCAACACGAGAGTGGACGAGAAGAATGGATCACTGCCTTGGCCTCCGATGACACACCTACACGATCAGTACCTAACAATACAGTGGAGGACGAATAGGATACATGCCGAACTCCTAGCAGGGTTCGGCCTACCACGGACTGCCAATGCTGCATCAACTACCTCGGATTCCCACCTGCCTTGTCCTCTCACCCAGACACGGAACTATTTCACTTACCTACATCCCCGACAAGCAACGTGGATCACAAACTCACCATTGTGGATACTGTCCTTGATAAAGCTACCGCTATGGATAAAGCTACCGCTATGAATACAGTGAGCACTGCTCCAGCGAGCACAGCTCCAAGCAATGCTATTCCCACTCCTTCTACTGCCTGCCCCGTAGAACATGGTACTGTAAACTCTTCCCATTTAAATCCTACGACTACCACCGTAGACCATCCTACCGTGGAACGGCCTTTCCCATTAAAACCTGACCATGACCAGTCTACAACGCCAGACGTAGAAACAAGTACTAGTACCACATCTCAACCTCAGACCCACAATGTATCGGCCGGTTCCCCCTCTGTTAATCCATGTTGTGACAAACACTCCAACACGATTGACTCTATGACTGAGCTACCGGCCCTAACAACTACTAATGGTCCTACGCCGTTCTGTTTTTACGGAAACTCCCTTGCCTCTGACCAGTCCCATGGACCATCCTTGCGCATGACTCCTCATATGTATCGCAAAAACACACGTGTCAACCTCCACCTAATGCTGGATGGTTCCCCTCAGCCCACAGTCAAATAGCTACAAACTGTACAAACCCCATCACACTCCAATGCTGTCACTCTTCCACTCCAGCCGGACACAGGCGCTAATATATCAGCTACTGATAATCACTCACTTCTTCATGACTACATACAGTATAATACCCCTGAAGAAGTAGGGGTTTTTAGCGCCAACACCGACTCCCTACAAAATGTGCTGTCAGGAAGGCTACATCAAGCTTATCTCTGACCAAGGTACTATCATGCGTTGGCATACACTCTACATACCTCACTCTACAGGGACTGTTCTATCCCCAGATAACTACTACAAGCTACATGGATTCTACGCAGTCCGACAAGAAGGTGTTGATACTAACAAAGGAACTGTACGGTTCCTAAACAGCGATAGGGACACAGTTCAATCCATCCAAACAGTTAGGAATGACAATGGGGAATGGTTCACTACAAATAAAGTCCTCATCACGAATCTGCATGAAGAGGAACACAGGGCTAGTGAATTGCGCAATTATCGCCACCAAGTAGTAAGTACTTTTTCCGGCTCCGCATCTGCATCCGCTCCAATCGGAGGAAATGGCTCTTCACAACGAGTACCCACTCCATCCAAAGAGACTGAACCCCCACAACGAATAGGTCTCTCCACCGCTCTTAAAAACCTAGAACTATGGCACCAACGCTATGGTCACGTATCCCCTTCCACACTCGTTAAAACGCAACGCGTAGTTGAAGGAATACCCAAACTCCCTTCCTCTGCACCATACTTTCGTTGCCCGTTTTGTGAAAAGAGCAAAATGACCAAATGTCATGGCAAGAGGAAGCCCTCCACTGAAAAATTCATTCCTGGACAATCCTTTCACATGGATATCTCATTTGTCAGTGGACCACCGAACCTAGCTGCAATCCTTAAGACTAACGCTAAACCCCTGCCCACCCCCAAAAAGAGTTGCACAGGACACATTGGCTTCCTTACGATAATTGATGCTGCTACTAGAGCCCTTTGGACATTCCCCCTCAAATCAAAAGATCCACCAATACAGATTGTAAACTCTTTCCTGCGTAAACATGGCATAAGAAACACTGACCCCAGGCTGGCCATTACCACCACACGGGATGGGTATTTAGCACGCTCACGCTCTTTCGCTAACACTGCTAAGGAACACCGGTATTCCGTAGACTCTTCTGACCACTCACACTTGCTACATCTCCTCCCAGACCACCTGGACTGCACTATAATGACTGATGGCGGTGGTGAACTCTCCAAATCTACCAGCTTTAAACATACAGCTTCCTCACATGGCTACGGCACTGTTTCCACAGCTGCTGACTCCTTGTCCCAGAATGGCTTAGCAGAACGACCTCATTGGACCCTCAAGGAAAGAATAAGGTGCCTCCTCTATGCAGCAGGCCTTGGCACTGAATACCGGACTGATGCTCTACTTCATGCAACATGGCTTTACAACAGAACATATCACAGTGCCATCAACATGACCCCCATCCAAGCATACACTGGCCGTATTCCCCTCATGGACAACCTCATCACGTTCGGAGCAAAGATAACTGCCAAGCACCCTGGAACAAGGCCCTCCACCACACACCCTTGGACCTACGACGGCATCTTTCTTGGATATGGAAAGACAACAGACAACATCAAATACTTTGATATTCATACTGGCACAGACAAGACGGCTCGACATGACTCCAAGGATGAACTACAATACGGAGATGATCCCCTCAATAGATCTCCAGCTGCTTCTCACCTCCTGAGTGTATTCAGTGAAGATGACCACAAAGCACACACTACAAATAATAATCCAGAGACCATCCCAATGACACTAACAAACACCAACTCCAGGTCACCCGCCACCCTGATAAAGGATATCATCCATGACTCTCCACCCAGCTATACTGCGGCAGCCGCTGCAAAAGTCAGTGCACACCACATTCTTAGAACCAAATTCGAGCGACCATAAATTGCTACTCTCATCCCTGAACTTGAGACCCTGGATATCTCCACTAACATGTACGTCTATGAAACTTCCCATACACTTCCCCTCCAGAATACCAATGCGTTTCATCCTACAATGGGATTCATTGTTGCTCCCCATCCCGATATTACGGGAGCTCTGGAAGTCACAGCCCTTCAAGTAGGCACCATTGCACATGCCCATATACGTAACTGGAAGCGACGCCTAAGGGGCACTATTATCACTTCAGTGGATGGCAACCAAATCAAATCCTACGATGACCTCATCAACATCATTAAACATGCGAGAGACTCGCATAAGCCTGCTATCAAATTCACGTTTGGCTCACTTACTGGCTTAGCCCTGAGTGTGTCCCTACTCTACAAGCGGATCAACTTAATGTAATTGCCCACCACCTACACCCCCTTAACTTCAACCAGGATCTGTGGCCGGACAAAATACAATGGCCCTTGGCTATTGACTCACCTGCAATAGCCAATGAACGTGTCCGAGTGGCAAAACTCACACGTTCTAAACTCAAAGGCACTGTTAAATGGGAAGGCTTTCTTAAATCTGAATGGAAACAGCTCAATCGATACCACAAAGTGGGCATGTTTGGAGATCCCATTGCACCTACTTCAGATATGACAATACTCCCCTGGGTCTGGACCTATCTCAAGAAAGAGAATCCCCTCACAGGCATAGATGAGCCTAAATCACAGGGCCCATGCAACGGCGGCAAAAGATATGGCCAAGCTGTTACTCTGGCTGAAACCTATGCATCCTGTGTTGAACAACCAATTCATCAACTCACTTGGGCCCTTTCTGCTGCGTTAAATCTAAAATGTATTGGATATGATGTGGGCAATGCTTTTGCTGAAGCCCCGGCCCATAAGAGCCCCTTCTTTATGTGTGTCGATGACCCATTCCAGCAGTGGTGTACTGAATGCCTCAAACGCCCCCCCATCCCATATGGTCATGTGATTCCCATACTTAAAGCTCTCCAGGGTCATCCCGAAGCTCCGCGTTTATGGGATAATTATATTTCAAAATTACTTATCATGGAGCTTGGATTTAAGCCAACAACACACGAACCTTGCCTATACTACAAACATGATGAGACAGGCATAACTCTCATTCTCTGACAAGTGGATGATTTCCTTATTGCTAATAAACACGAGCATGTATGTGATAACATCAGGGATCTTATTCAACAAAGAATGACTAATCCCTTAAATGTACTCGGCACTATCCGTAAATTCAATGGCATACATGTACAACAGACCAGAGACTTCAATCACCTCCATTGTGCTAAATACATTGAAAAGATATGCGAACACCATGGATGGCTACACGATACTACCTACAAGCTTCGTAAACGCCCCATACCAATGCGAGAGGACTCCAAATACTTAACACAGCTCCAGTTAGCCTGCGGCCCAACAGACCCATCTGATGCAAAACGCCTAGGAAAGACCATGGGCTTTAACTATTGACAATGTATTGGAGAACTCATCTATGCCCTTACCATCTTTCAAATTGATATCTCTGTTGCAGTTATTATCCTCAGCCAACACTCACACAATCCCTCTAAAATCCACTTTGAAGCAGTTCGCCACTTGTTTGCATACCTCCTTGCCACTAAACACGAGGGCCTTACATACTGGCAACCACAACCACGTATGGATCTCCCACAAACCCCTCTCCCACAGCCCCTATCTTCCCCGGCTCAACTCACAAAATTCTACCAAAGCACCAGTCCCCTTCAGTTGCATGGTTCTTGTGATACTACTTGGGCCTCAGATAGACTTCAACGCTGCTCTATGGGTGGTATTATCATGATGCTTGCTGGGGCTGCTGTCTATTACCGGACACGGCTCCAACCCACCATTGCTCAAAGCTCCACTGAGGCTGAATTCACCAACATGGCTGATGCAGGCAAAGCAGCGCTATATCTTAGATGGATAATGATGGACGAATTACAGCTCCCTTTACTCACTCCCACACCTATTCTAGCAGACAATCATGGAGCTGTTAGAATGGCTAATGCTCAACAACCAACTCGAAGAACGCGACACGTTGAGATGAAACACTTTGTTATCCTTCAATGGACTGATGATGAATTTATTGAGTTTATCAAAACAAGATCAGATGAGAACTACAGTGACTCACTGAGCACACCCACTGGTCGAATGAAATTCTACACCCATACAGATGTATTTATGGGTAGAATACGACCCCCCTACTTGGTACTATCAGACACACAACAATATACCTCGAATGGTGCGGATACGCCTCTTTCAACTAACCAAAGAAGAAGTACCTCAATTAGTGAGGCTAGGGCCCCGTACCAACTTTACGACATCATACAATCTCCACTTGCAGCAATCTAAATCCTCTCGTAGATCTCCTACTATCACCAGAACATGAGGATATTGACATAATTGACCAATTCGACTCTTTAGATTCTGCAAGTGTGGGGGTGTGAGAGGTAGTACAGACACCAGAATCACGAGTAGCTAGTGAATAACCTCACTCTTTATTGTAGACCACGTATTCATGTACACTAAGGAGCCTATCAACATTTCACATACTGTACTCACTGCTCACTTTCGGAGCGTGTCGTCATCACGCCTTCCACAGTTTTTACCCATGCTTCACAAAAAACATGTCAGATCGATCCGAAGACGGAACAAGGGTCAATCTCGTGCCGATCAAAAACAGTACCAGGGTTACAGAACTGTTTGTCGCATTCACGAAAAATTATCATGTTCCTCAAATAAAATGAGAGAGCAAATAGATACATAATCCCACGAAGATGACAGTTTCGAGAAATCCAGGACGAGAGGAGTGCCTTTAAAGTGACGAGTAACAGTAGTGTTCGAGCAAATATTTGTTGACTCAAATGAGAGCATGTGTTGGTTGAAGAAGTGAAATTCGTTTGAGGGAGACATAAGTTGTTCTTAACGATTTCTCTATYGAACATCGAAAACGGGGAACCAGCCATGWTTCTAAAATTCAATGATGACTCAATTGGATATTTAATAGGAAGGCCCTAGCAATGCAGAAGTAGGCGGTAGATGATTATCGTTCGAATCAATCTTTCGAAATAGCACGAGACTTTTGGATTTGTGTCATGAATGATAAGCAAGGATCACTCCGATCCAAATACATCCACATCACGATACTTTCCAGTAACTTTGGCGCATCTGTGTTGCTTTTATTTCCCCGTCATTCATCGCACAGGTCGAAAAGTCGTGTGTTATTGAAAGATTTGTCTTCAGATGGACAATTCTGCCACAAGAAAGTCTGATTGCATACCTTTGCTGTTGCAACAGGATCTTCGAGCATCGATAGCGTGYCACTGCACTGTAGATTTTCCTTTGTGCTCTACAAATAATGACTTGTTGGGTTACACTTGTCCGTCAACCTACGATCGGAATACTCTGATTTGGGACAACTAATCTCCATTTTGATAATTTGTCGAGCACGTGGGAAAGTCTGCATTTCGCCAACAAACCAGAATGAATGAATGAATGCAAAATAGTCTWTCTATGTATGCGTTGTCCTCGCGTTGGCTCGTTTTTCTGAGAATGAGAATTGACTGTTGTGTTTCCCTCTTGTTTTTATCAATTCTGCTTTGAAGACATGAAAGTAAGAGACAAAAGAAAGGACCTCCCGTTGAAAGAAAATTTGGTGGAAAGAGGTAAACAAATCAAAAGATATTCGACTTTATTGACATTTGYATCCATCAGGTCATGGCATTACGAGGGCGGAGATCAGATTCCAAGAAGAGTTAGMACGATTTGGTCACCATGAAGGATCGAGTCCGAAATAAACTTACCGATGTCGAATRATCAACTTTGAAGCTCCTCTAGAACAAATTCAAAACAAACTTTGTGCTGATTTTTATGATTCCATTTGGTGGAATTCCCACTGACRAAATTCTGATGACTGTTTTGTATGCCGTAATCATTACACGAAAGTTTATTTCAGTGGGTGATAAAGACTAGATCGGTGTACTACATATTTTATCCAGATTTACCAACTTGAATGAATTTCACCACATTCCCCTGTGGCAACAACAGCAACTCATATTCGTTCGACAAATCTGACCTAGCTAGCTTGAAACGTTGCATACGTTTCCTGGTTCAGTCATACACATTAATGAGTGTTCCTCTCCATATGTGTTGCAATTATTATCTCACTCAACAGGTTTCCCCCCCCCCTTGGTCTTCTTCGCTCTTATCGTCTTCGTTTTTTAATGGTGACGGGTTCCGACGAACAACTCTGGGCGCCATCATGGATCCRCTGTATAGCACCTGCTTGGGTTTCGACTTCGAAGCACCCCCGTCMACCAATTTGACAGCAGGATTTCGCTGGTGCTTGTGCATCAAGTCGGGATCAGACGATTCTTTCTTTTGTACGGGGCGATCCCCTTCCGGCGTAGGGTTTTGGATGTTCGGGGAGCCTGACGAGCCAGCTGGAACTGTGGGACAGGAATCGAAGACAGCCGATCCAAACCCTGGCCTTTGCGAATYATTTCCATTCGAGGGATTCTGTGGATTGCYAACGTTAGAAGGACTTTTTATTTTTGGTCGCATGCCACCGGTAGTTCCTCCATCTAATCCGCCGGCTGCTCGTTTTGGCRTYTTTGGAGCCCAACCAGTTCTCGCGCCACTGGCTTCTGCAACACTCGAACCAAAATCTGGYGTGGCGGCATCATCTTCAGAAACTATAAACAACGGCTTTTTCACTTGCCGGGCACTMCCCGAGGGTRCGTCTGAGTTATTACCAGGTGTCGCAGCAGCTTTTCGTCTTGGAGTGGCCATCATTCCGGTGTTAGTTGACATTCCACCGTYSGCAATCTCTTCTTCGATACTTCTTTGCGAAGTGTTGACACCTGTTTGCATCTCACTCGCCGCGCCGACGGCTTTTCCAAAATTGGATGGGGGGCCCTTTCCTCCRCGTCCGCTACTGCTYCCCTGGTCTTCGGAAACCACAAAAAGTGGTTTTGAGGGAGCTCCACCCGAAGGAATGTCTCCGCCACTCCCTCCGTTAATTTTTTTGCCTTTTGGCGTAAGCATACTCCCGGTATTCGATGACATTTCATCGCCCCATTCGTCACCATCCGGACCGAGAGTTCCTCCACTGCTACCATTGTTGTCAACATCGCTTTTCATTGACGACGGCGCATAACCAGTTTTGGCCATACTGGCATCGGCAACGAAATTTCCGAAGGAGGAAGGAGGCCCTTTTTTAACTCCATCTGGCGCAGAATATKCAGGACGCGGCTCACCAGGTTGTACACTAATTTCTTCGTCATCCCAATAGTCGCCATCGTCATCGTAGTRCATATCATCAACTCGGTCATCATATGGATCACGTGGAGGACGAGGGGCCCCAAATTTGAGAAAATAATAATCTTCATCAGAATCGAAGCCCGACTGATCCATACCTTGACCGGATGGTGGAGGTCGGACCGAATACCTACCACCTTGAGGCGCTTCTGGACGGCGTGTGGCCCTACCTCGCCATGTATCGTTTTCGTCGTATTCGAAGTACTCGCTATCATCGTCCTCGAAGTAYCCACCACCATCATAGTCGTTGRAATCGTTGGATGGCATAGGGGTCTCTATGAACCCATCATCTCCCCATTCATTCTCGACCGGAGTACTTTCAATTCTCCTTGTATTTGGTGGTCYTCTACGATTTGGATCATTCATCACATCTTTCCTTTGGAAATCGTTCGCACCTTCTGTGTTTCTTCTTTTGCGTGTCCGCCCCATAATTGCGGTATCTTCTTCTCCATYTTCATCATCTTCGTACATTTCATTGTAAAGAWACATGTCCTCKTCTCKTTCTTCATCGTCGTCGTCATCTTCTTCAGAAATAGTTTTCTTTCTACGTCTTGCAGATTTATTCTTGGCAGARMCCTGATTGTCCTCAATGTCTTTGCCAGTGGTAATCGAAACCACTCCCTGGAGTAGATCGGCAACCCGACTATCTTCCTTACTAAGGGAAAAGGCCTCCTTCAAGAGTTCTGCGACTCGGTCTTCCATAGACTTTTCTTTTTGTACATCCTTAATTTTCGTATCAACGTTTTCCCCCATAGGCTCTTTGTCTTTTGAGGACTCTTTTCTATCATCACCAGYCCCRAAATTAGAGGCATTCTCAACTGCAGCTTTGCCGATATTAACAGGACYAGGTGTACTTTTTGAATTCGATGGAWTTGTTTTCTTSKTCCCTGAAAAGTCTCCATTCTTCTTGGACTCCTTGCGAATAGACGGAACAGTCTTTTCAACCTCTAGTGGAGGAGCACTGTTCATAGGTGTTGGTGTTGGAAGCTTGGTCTTTCTTGTGGATKCCTTTTTCTTYGGTGGTTTGTCTTTCTTCGTGTAGACCGCATCCACAACATCAATGATGTTGCTATCGTCCTTTTTCTTTTTTTTGGAAGATTCCGGAGGAGGCGATGAGACCCCTGCATCTGTAGATGCCGTACCACGGCTTAGCAAGTCTTGTGGGACGTCACCTGAACTAGCCATTGCTACGGAAGCTCCAAAAGAGGGAGGTGGTCCTTCGTACTTAGAACTCTTTTGAGAGGACCAGGRGTTCTTCCCACTAGCACTTGCCGCAAAGGAGCCAAAATCGGACGGTGGACCCCTTTTTTTTAGTTCCTTCTTGTTGAATAAATCATCTGGCATGGGACGTGTGCCGTCCTTTTTTGATTCCTYCACGACCTCTGGTTCGAAGGATGGTGGTGTCTGTTTCTGYTGCGYGGACTTCTTTTTGTTTTTTGTCAATTCATCCATGGRGAKAGTACTGCCAGCTGTTCTGCCAATTACATCAAAGAGGTTTTCTCTGCTGCTTTTGCCCGTGGTTCTCGGGTCCTTGGTTTTCTCTTCCTTTTCGTCGAGATCTGCTYTCTCTTCCATTTTTTCTTCCATGCTCCCTACCTCGGTGTTTTTGGAGGCCGTGGTAACCTCCTTCGCTTCAGATTCTGCATTGGAGGGCTYGGCKTCTTTCTTCCAATCTACCATCCACTTCGGCTTCGATTTCTCTTTTTTGGAACCCTCAATTGTTGTTTTGCCGACAGGTGTCGTCTTGGAACCTGGCGGAGTCAAATCCGGCATGGRWTGYTTTGATGGCATTMCGGTTGTTGACGRTGTGAGTGGTAMCTCTTCTTTTTTTGTCGGGACTGGCTKWTCTTCTTCAGCTGCTGATGGCGATGGAACTTTTTTCGGTTTTTCGTAAGATGCTCCACTTTTGATGCGTTCCATTAGTTCTGATGATGGAGCACCCGTRAGATTTTGAGCCTCGGCCTTGGATGGTTCTCTTTTTTGTTCCTCTTCTTCGGCTTTGATTCTCGAATCCAACTCGATCCGAACCTTTTCCATTTCTTCCATAAGCTTAGCAAGGATTTCGTCATCGGCATCGTCTAGTGCCGGTGTTTTCATTGCATCTGCCTGCAGTTTTGWAACTCTCTCGGCYTCTTCTTTGTCAACCTCGGCCGTGAGCTTAGCATCGATTTCAGCCATGACCCGAGCGGCTTCCTCCTTTGCTTTGAGAAGCGTTGCTATTTCCTGTGCCTTTTTCTCATCCTCAAGTCTCTTTTCTTCTTTCGCGGCGGCCGCCTTGGCTTTTGCCTCCTCCTGTGWTTTTAATTTCTGCGCTTTTGCCTCGGCCTCAAGTCTCTTCTGTTCTTTCTCGGCGGCTGCCTTGGCTTTTTCTTCAGCTTCTGCTTTGAGTTTGACTGCTTTCGCCTTAGCCTCGGTGTCTGCTTTTCGCTTGGCGGCGGCTTCTGCTTCCTCCCTTGCACGGGCTTCCGCCTTGAGCCGGGCGACTTCGGCTTCGGCCTGCCTTAGTTTATCGTCCTGTTCGGCCCTAATCTTATTGGCTTCCTCGAGAATTCGTTGAGCCTCAGCCTGGGCTTTTTTCACTGCGCGCTTCGATGCTACCTCGGACTTCAGTTTTGCAATGGCTGCTTTCTTTTTGGATAAAGTCGGATCATCCTTTGTAGTGTCGTTATCCTCACCGTTTTTGCTACTTTTCRACTTGGGAGAAGGTTGGAAAGATTCTTTGGTCTCCAGCTGCATAGCAAATTCCCAACCTTCTTCTTGCGTCATGTCTGCTTCTTTTTTCTCCTCATTATCGTCGTCATTTTCGTCTTTCTCATCGTCGCTATTTTTTGTGGCTGCCATATATCGGGACGTKTCGCTATCGCGGCGGTTCTGGAACATGTAAAACAGACCTCGTCTCCTCGTTCGAGTGTGGTACTGGACTCCCGAATCACCAACATTTGCACCAGCAGAATGTGCATGTGCATCCGGCCTCACTTTTACGGAAGATGTCGAATAGYGAGAATTTTGAAAGGCCAAACAGTACGGTCCTTCCAAGTTGTTTACATTTCCCAACAGCAGTCCCAGAAGTGGGAACAGTAAGATGTGGCGATTCATCCTTTTCGATGTCGATAGTATTATGCCGCCGCTACCGCTCATACTAYTCCGGTGACGAGGAAACGCTGGTGATAACTTCCTGCCTGATTGATACAATATGTAATCCCCAAATGTAAGATTATTCGGCGAGGTATCGATGGAAAGAACTTGGTAATTTTCTTGTTGGTTCAATGATCTAATTTGYGTCAAGTGCAATGATTGCCATTGTCGGTTTCGTTCTTTTGCTTTCCTAYGTTATTGCACAGCAAGTGAATGTGCAACACGAGAGAGAAGAGAGTTCTGATGATCGTAAACGTTCAAAATCGATCTGTCGTCATCCTCCTCTCTCTATCTCYGTTCAAAAAATCTTGACAACGTCCTTCAATATCTCGCGCAGTTTTGTGCTTACCGTACGTACGTACAATGSACCTACGTATCGAATACTACTACTCRTAGTACTCGTAGCTTACTTTCCAGTAGAATAAGCTTATGACTAGCAGCCGTAGTACGATACCGTACTTTCACTCTGTAGAACATGGTKATGAGCTCTAATCCTACTGGTAAGAGTACGTAATAYTGTACGGTGGGTAGCRCGGATGACGAATACACATTTTAAAAATTTCGAGATTTGAACATCAAGCATGCTAGCCTGTGACATTAAGTACGTATTGTGCATGCGACATCAACCGCCAAAGCGCGGCGAACCCCCTATAGTTTTCTAATTGACTCAGTCGATTCGATCGATTGACCTGAACTATCATATGCCTTACAACAGTCAAATAACCTCTATTAGATACATCACTCTACGTTGAACGCTTAGAGCGCGCACCGACCTTCCAGTCAAAGGATACTGCTCTCTCGTCTCATATTATTTTTTCTCTGTCTGTGTTACAGGAACTTTTTTCTTTGGGACTGAGCAGACAGTGAGAGACCCTGTTGTACGGTAGGACGATGAATCAGGAACCAAACTGTCGAATCATCGATGAATAAATGCATGCCTGTTTTCTCVGTGTCACTCAGAAAAAGGATATTAATTGGAACAAAAATCAATGAAAGAGAAAGAGTAGAGGACAACAAGCACCGCTACGACAAATAAAAACAATACCGGCATTACAACAAATGATGAACCAGTGTGGCCCAGTCGGATACTCTATTGGTGGATACAACAACTGTAGACAGTTGTCGAACCAGCAGCAAAACCATCAACGACCAAAAACTCGTAACGATTACTTTGGAAAGTTTCGGTTTCTCAAATTCGACTTGAAATGGCCGGAACTAAAAATGCCCGACATGCTGAAGGACTTTTCGGTCGATCACATTTGCTATTCGGGTGAAGTCATCGACGAGGCAGCTTCAACTACCAAGAGTCACCTCAGAAAAACAGCAGAAAGTGCAARAGAGCTTCCCAAACAGGGAAAACAATTCGCCGACTCCCAGGCCGAAATCCTTCATAGCCATTCCAAGGTCTTAAAAACGCAGTTGTCGGAAAATTGGAACTCCTCGATTGCAAGCATTGCGTCGATGCCCTCGGCCATCTCAGAGTCTTGGGACTATCACGCAAATATCTATCACGAACAACAAAAGCAACTCAAACAACAGCAATAATTTGTCGGTTGTTATTCAAGTGCACTTGAAACGGGTGCAAAGGTTGGTCCTTCGTGTGTTTGRCTGTTTGTGACTATATAAATTTGCTGTATCTCTCTGTATGATGAACAGTGATAGAAACTGATTTCAGATTTCGAATCGAAGACTTGGCATGACAYGTCACGACAGAATGATATGCAACACAATCTGTTTTTGTGATTCGTGTCTTTCGATTTCTGAGGCATCGTCACTCGAATTGTATTCGAAACAAATAAAATGAGTATGAACGGAATCTAAAATGAAAGGCTTACTCGTGAAAGCTTTTGTCGGATCTCGCAAGTATCTATGGTGAGATATTATTGTGTGTGAAGCCATTGTCCGATAGTAGTACATACCTACGAAAAGACGAAAGATCCGTCCGTCGTATAATACCGGGGAAGAATGCATCTCCGCTCCTTATTACTATACTTTCAATTCATGAAGGTGTCAAATTGAAAAAAGTGCACGGATGTGTTTCATAAAAGTCAATTCGATAAAATAAGCAAAAGGCAGAACAKTAACTCGTAGTAGTATTCAATTGTGCAGAAAGCATGCAGGATCGCAACACGATAGTAGTGGTAAAAATATCAATTCACTGCTAATTGTACACTTGTGTATTTGGCGGAAGAATAGTTTTCAAACCTGTGAAGAATAACTGTCACGGGAACTACAATTTCCTTCAAATAGGCAGGCTTCAGAGTTGGTTCAAATTGTACAGCCTCAAACACGGAGCATCTACACAACTGCCTTCTTTTGTCAGGATAAAGGTTACATCGTGGTATGATTGCSTTTGCTAGAATTTGCAATATGAAAGACAACGTCTTCGACACTTGCAAGTCACAACTCCTGGTTAAAATTAGCGTTAAGGGATCCTATTAATGGCAATGGGCAACGAAACTTGATAGAATGCTTAACTTTGTGAAATAGGAGAGGCCCCAGGAAAGTGACATTCCTCTCCTGGGAGGAACAATGCTTCTGGTTGCCCTGAGGGGCACCACCACTTAAAGAGCACAAGCACAAATGACACAAGAAAATGGAACATTACAAGCTGGAGCAACACAAGCTTCCCAGAATTGTGTTTGATTGCAATTGATTGCTTCAATATGTATTATGCGAACCAGTTTTCAGATTTTTGTATTCTGCTAGTCCCTGTTAAATCCTCTCAGATAACTATTGCTGCTATTACTAGTGCACTACTAGCTTTGCTTCGTGATGTTTTATCTCATAATTCTCTTGCTACAAAATAGTGACGAATAGAATCAGTCCAGTAGTTATGCAAAGGATTACTCACTAAGATTGGTTGTTTCCGCCAACTCCTCAAAAAACTAGTACCGTTTCATACGGGAAAAATGATTTGTCCAAGMAACAACAAGTTGCCATTGAACATTCCAAGGGCATACAAGCACACCCCCACACGATTCGGTATCGGTGCCAATGGGAAATCGGAATCAYGAGCAGAAGTACCACAAAGATCGCTGTGCAACTCAGTGCTAAACTTTCCACACGCAAAGGCCATCGTTTCCGCTACACGATTTCAATTTTGCTATCCTCCCATACCATCCGTTGGTTCCCCACCTTGGATTTTGCGGGGATAAGTTGTTTGTTTGTCCTATATTACAACAAATGGATGCAAGTACAATTTCTTTTTTTCTAAAATTACAGCTTGGCCTTCCGAATGACAGCCTCAATGACACATCCGGTCGGGAAAGCACCGCACGCACCGCGAGAGGTGCGACAACCCACCGGCCTTTCCGTCGACGAGACATCTGCTCTCTTGTGAATCGAGCCCTGCTAGGCTTCTTCCACCTCGACGAGGTTCTGCCAGGTTTTTCTCCACTTGTTGAGCATGATTTGCCCCTGYTCGGCCGCCGTTCGGTTGTAGCCCGGCCGGTTTCGGCTGCTCTCGTCGCAGAGCCGGGCAAGCTCCACGTCCAGGCGCAGTCCGGGAACCGTCTGCCGTGCCAGGGCCACGTCAAAGGCCTCGGCATCATCGGGGGCCACCGCGTTCAGCTCGGTTTCCATAACGTTCATCATTTCGTACATGTCTTTTTCGACGGAGGGATTCATGATGTGCCACAAATCACCAACTAGAAGTTTGGTAAGCTGGATGTTTCGGATTCGCTTCTGTAGCAAAATGATAAAGTCCCGGTCGGACGATTGAGACGCGCCACTGGCAATGGTCATGAGCTCGTGCACCGTTTCCAAAATTTCAAATTGCTCCGGAACGGCGCGTTTCAGTGCGGGATAGACGTCCTGTAGATCCTCGAAGTAGCCCTTCATGGTATCAATGTCGCCACGGATGCGTTCCAGCGACCGCGGGACGTTCGACCAGAGCGGATCCTTGTTGCTCTTGTGGCCCGAGGCTTTCTTCACCAGGTACTTCAAGTAAAATATTACCGTGGCCGTCACCAGAGCATCCAGAGTCTTCCCGACCATGAGCTCGTCTAGGAACAGTTCCAGATCCCCCATGAAATCTTCCAGCGTCTTCACGAGTGTGAGGGTCAGCTCATTGGCGGTGAGTTCGTTCAACCATTCTTCTCCAAAGAGTTCCWCCGAAATGGATTCCTCAATCGGTTCAAAGACGTAGATATGGACCTTTTGGGCCGCAAAGACAGCATCCCCGCTGTAGAGTCCCAGCAATACACCGGATTGCTCGTCCAGCTGGTTCTGGGCTTCGTCGGTCAGGTTGCACTCGGCCACCATTTCTGCCAGGATTTCCTCGCAGTTTTCGCTCATCCKAATAAAGTCGTTCGAGGCAGCACAGCACGTTTCGAAATCCAGCAGGAAGTTGTTTCGGCAAGCGATCTGCTTTTCGTACAGGTTCTTGAAGATGACGCCGACGGCCTGCACCAGGGCTTCCGAGCGGCGCGTCAGACGCTCTCGAATGGTGCGGAGCTGGACACCCGCCAGAGCGTAAACGTCCTCGCACAGAGACGTCGTGAGGCGTCCCTCCGAGGTCTGATTCTTGGTATGGTCGGCGCTGTACACAAAGAAACAAAAAATGGAGCGAAAAGGGCTTAGAGAGTGCACCACGGTTCCCGGAAGGGCGCTGTCACCGAGCCTTCACAATCGCGATTCGAACAAAACATGACAGAAACAAACAAAACAAAGCCACACCAAACCCAATACCCGGGGGGKGGGGGGGGCGAGAGACGTACTCGTAAACATTGTCGAGCCACTCGTGTGTTTGTTCCTTGGTGCGGAACAAGAACTCGTCCTTCGACAGGTCGTGTACCTCCCACAGCATGTTGTTGGCCCAGGCCAGGGAATCCTTGGCGACGTCCATGTCGATCTGCCGGTTGTCCTCCTGGAGCAGATCGGGTCGCTTGTTGAAGTACGTCTTCTTGGAAATRTGCTCGCCAATGTTGGGAAAGGTTTCCTCGATGGTCGACCGGAAGGATTCGATCCAGGCCACCAGGTCCAGGAGCTGCGTCACGGTCAGATCCGGAAGCTTGTGCCCCTCCGTCCCGCCGATCTGATCCAGGATCTGCTTGGAGCACACGTGGGAGACGCAGGTGCTCCAGAGCATCTCGAGCGCCCAGTTGGGGGGGAAACAGGGGGACATCTGGTTCTGGACAAAGGCAATGTCGGCCGTGAGTTCGTTGGCCGCTCTCAGAATGGCGTTGAAGTATTCCGTGGCCTCCTCCTCGTCSTCTTCGACGCCGCGGGCCTGYGCCACCTCGTGGACCTCCCGAAAGACCTCGAGGCTCCGGAGTTCGAAATCCTGGTACATTTGCTTGAGGGCCGAGGCCCGCATGTCGGTGAAGCGCAGGTTCTTGTTGTCTCCGGTGTTGGCAGCCGCGTTCCCGTCGGCGCCGGCTTCTTCCCCGTGAACGGTGTTGTACTCCTCGTTGGCCGCCTCGTAGATCTCGACGGCCTCCACCAGTGCCACCAAGCCGGCGGCGTTGTGGGTGGCCAGCTCAAAGGCCCCKCCGATTCCGGACATGATGCGCATCCGGATCTCGTCTCCCAGCTCCCAAACGTTCTTGACGTGCTCGTGCAAAAAGTTGTCGACTTCCTCGTAGTTTTGGATCCGGCCCAGCGTCGACGAGGTCGCACCCATCGRGYTGSCCATTCCGTTGTGGTTGCTCTGTCGCAAATAGTCCCGCCTTCCCTGGGGRTGGTAGCTGTCGTCTTCGAGGGGCCGGCCSGAGGACTCCTTGAGTTCCTCCTCGATGCGCTTTTTCATGCCCGCCTCGGCTTCCACCAGAAAGATCTCGAGTTCGACGTGCTCCCTAGATACCTCCCGGAGGCTGGACCACTCCGTGTCGGTCCACTCGGCGTTGTGGAGGTCTTCCCGCAGGCGGTCGCAGGTGACCGGGATCTGGGAGTAAAAGTCGAGCTCTCGAAAGCACCTCGCCAGGTTCCGGCGGGCGTTGATGGCCTTCTTGAGCTTGGGGTACTTGGTGAGCATAAAGGTCTGGGACCGGGCCATCATGTTGTTCTTGACGGCCGAGGCGTCGGACGCCATGGTGATCTCGTCGCCGCCCACCGTGTTTCCGTCGTTCGGGATCGATGGCATGCTCGTGGAGGTTCCCACGTACCCCCCGATGTAKGTGGAGAGTTCCCGGAGGCGTCCCAGGTCGTCCTTGGTGGAGTTGACGGCATTTACGAGTTCCTGGACCTCCCCCCCGCTGGCAGCCACCCCGTCGTTCAAKCGGGCGTTGACCATGGTGAGCTGGCGTGCGGTTCCGCCCCGTAGCTTGGCAATCTCCTTGTCCATCTTWGAGGGTCCCTCCAGGATGTGCCCAAAGGCACCAATCTCGATTCCCTGCTGCTCGCTGGCGGTCGTCGTTTTGGAGGCGGCCGAGGCCGAGGCATTGTCGGCGGCGTCGTCCGTGTAGTGTTTCGCGGCCGTTCGCATGGTCGACTTGCCCATCCCTCCGTGGACCAGCAGCTCGTCGATGAGTCCACAGTCAAAGAGCCAGGTGGATACGATCCCGATGGCCCGCTCTTCTGCCTTGCGCTCGAACTTGCTGAGGGGCAGGCCCTGGACGGCCGTAGGAATGTCGGGTGGATCGTCGGGCCTCTGCAGGTTGGACGCCTGGTTCTGCTTMGCCGGCGAGGCACTGACGGCTTCGTCGATGCGGCCTCCGAATCCAAAGAATCCGCGGCGGACCACCGTTGGGTTGTTCTCGACGGAGCCGTCCTCGCCGTCCTCCTTGTTCTCGGCTTCCTCCAGTTCCTCCAGCTTGGTGTAGTACTTCTTCTGGACCTCGTGGTAATCGTCGTAGGGCCAGCGGATSACCTTTTTGCCTCCAAAGATTCCGACGAGCCCGGCCTCCGGTTCTTCCTTCTTGGGGGGCGGGGGAGCCACCGGTGCCGGAGCGGCGGGCGCGCCCTGCTTCGACGGATCGGGGGCGTTGCCRCCGATGCCCGTGGACACCGAGGCCCCGGAGGAGATCGAACGGTTGTGGCCGCTGATTCCCCCCGTTCCGACGCTGCTCGCGCTGGACGYCATTTTCCCGCCCAGCAGCCGCCCGATCCCGGCGAAGCGACCGGMGGACTGTTCCTGCTGCTGCTGCGGATTCCTGGCGTCGTTGATCCCATCGGGGTCGTGCAGGAGGGGCTCTCCCCGCTCGGCCGCCTTCCGGGCCAGGTACTGCTCGCGCCTCCTCTGGACCTTGTCGAAATCGACGTCAAAGTTCTCAAAGGCCGCTTCTTCTCCGGACGCCATCCTGGACGGTATCTATCTCTGTGTGTTTGTGCTGTTTGTGCTGTTCGTGCTATTGGATTGGATACTCGGTTGGACCGAGCTGCACTCGTGGAAKCGACCGGTGGACTAGGATCGATCTACGGGGTTTCGGGGAGGCCTTTYTCGTGCCACCTTCCGTCTATCTGATCTCGTTTTGCTTTTTTGCTTTGCGCTGGGTTGCGTTGAGTTTTCGTTGCGTTATGTTATGTTGTGCTTTCCGCCGTTTCGCCTTCTGGTTCGTTCGGTGCGATTCGGTTGTGTGTCACGTCASCCAATGGATTCGGAATGGTTTGCTCGGAGAAAGGGGGTGTCGCGGTGGTAGATGAACAACGGATGCTGGTGTGCTTCCGGTGCAATGACGATTCGTTGGAACGAGGCGTTCAATCAAAAAATAATAAAATTACTGTAAAACAGCATCATGGATTTCCCTGTACCGTACATGGTACGTACGTTTCGTACGCTACAGTACGGATAGGTTGGGTCTTTTGCTCCTTTCGCAAACCGCAGCACATACCGTGCAGTGGTACGGTATCACAAGCACGGCTGGTGCTGCTACCGTACATTACGGTACTGTAACAAGGAACTGTACGAACTAACGTTCGTACCGTACATACCGTACGTAGCACATCCGTAGCAATCGATTCGGGGATGTCTGGTTTGTCGTGGGAGGGCTCGATCGAGTCGGATCGTTGCCCAACGGTTCGTTTTCAGATGGAAAAGGGGCACGATTCCTGGCATACCTTACATTTTTATGGTACAGTAATACGAGTACATAATATAAGTACCTATGATAGGAGTGGAATTCGAACTCCATGTTTTGGATCTTTCCCGAAACGAACAAAACCGATAATCGGAATTTTCCTCGGCCGGGGACGACTACGATTTCAGTTTCGAGGGATACTGTTACGGATACAACCAGAGCGTTGATCGATACTGATGCTCCTGCCCGCAAGCAAACACACCGCAAACACCCGCAGCCCCGYCTCGCCTCGCTGGCGCGGCACGGCCCCTACACAGGAGCCCACCGCACCGGTACAGCGAGCTTGCCCGCTACCGCTGTCGGCCCTCCCTCCGCGGCGTCTCTGGGAATCCATCGTCTCGAGGGAGGACGCGACGGGGGGCGGCGCCGCCCGGAAGGTGCGAGCGTCTCCGTCCATCCGATCGATCCGGGTTTGCTCCACCGCACCGAACGCTCCGAGCCAACAGGGATAACATTACATTCCTAGTGAACGGCAACGCTCCGGGAACGTTCTCGGCGGTGGAGAAAGCACAACAAAGCACAACAAACACAACCCCCGGGACAAGCTCCGATACACCCGATGGCCCGGGCTTCGTTCCGCTCCGGAGCCGCACACCAAACGACCGGCCCGCAWGCCCGCCCCTAGATTCTTCGCGGGTGGGTTTGGTTCCTTCCCTCCGCCGGTCACAAAAACGAACGGCAGAAGACACAGAACACGGAGCCCCGAACGAGCAGGAAACCGAATCGAATCGGGTCGACCCGAGCAGCAACCAGCAAACCATGCGCAAGTCGGCAAGACTCCACCGGATGAAACAGAAAAAAGACGAGGAGAAAAGGCGGGATTCGAGTCGCCATCGCTGCCCTCCCTCGAGCGTGGAAACCGTGTTTCATCCGTACCTGAGCAAAATCCATCCGCCGAGGGATGTCACGCCCGCCAGGATCCGGACCCTGGAGGACGGGGTGATCTTGTCGCTGATGGAACGAACGAACCATTSGACCTAYCCCCCGAGGTTGCTCTGGCGAATCTCGACCCCCTGCTATGAGCGATGCCMCCAGAGCCACCGGGTGGTGGCCCTCCGCATCACGGACCGAGACAACATCTTTGGAAACACCATGGCCCGCATCCCGGCCTACGGTGCCCACCGGGCCTACTTGCCTCCCTCTCTGTGGACGATGCCACCGGATGTTGCGGTCCTGGACCACATCCGGGAGATGACTCTTTATCGCTGCACGGGCCCCCTGCCAGCCGAGGCGGGCCTCTACCTGACMCGTCTAGAGGCCCTGTACCTCAACGACTGTTCCCACCTGGATTTSTCGGCCGCCCTGGGGCCGGGGCCGTCCCACCAAACCGGCAGCGACAACGGTTTCGAGAAGACCAGCAGTCACAACGACGACAAGAACAATCGGAATGCGCGCTGGACCAACCTCAAGACGCTCAAGCTTCTGGATTGCGAGAACGTGACGCCCCAAACATTCCGGTGGCTGACCGGACTCGAAACCCTGGCAATGATCCGCTGGAACCCGCACAATCCCAACACGCGGGGCCTCGGRTCCCGCTGGATTCGGCAGCTGGCGGCTCCAAACCACGGCCGCGCCGCTSCTCCCCCCTTGCCGGCGGGGAACCCGGCTTTCGGGCCCACCCCGSTCCTGTTTGGCTTTCGAACCACGCTGCGGTCCCTGTCCTTTCGCGACGCGAACCTCACCAACCGGGACCTCCAGACCATTTTCTGGGAGATCCTTCCTGGCTTTCCGGCCCTGGAAAAGCTGTCCGTTGCCCGAAACCCCGCGATCGATTCGTTTCGGCAGGCCACGGCACGGCCACGGACGGCTCCGGGACGGGAATCCGCGTCCCCGGATGCTGTGGTGGCCGCCGCGGAACGCGGAAGGCCGTCCAACCTKAAATCCCTTGAGATTCTGCACACGAAAATCACCTGGACGAAGGCCGAGGTGGACAGCTTGGTTTGGTTCTTGGAAACAATCGGTGCTTCGGTAGGCACACTGGACGTCTTTTCCCCCTGGACRTCGCCTCGCTTTGACCATCCAAGGAATCCYAGGATCTCCCACCTAGTGGAGCGGACGCGGACCATAGAATACTTGTTGGCCAGGAACGCAACGAATACCTGTTCTATGCTGACGGGTGGGAGTGCGTTTGAATCGGGTSCCGGTGAGAACGCGAACAGCACAGGCACGGGCGGGACGGAGGCAATCGCACGACCAAGGAACGTGGGTGGGCCTCCCCCCCGTGCGCTCTGGTCGTTGGCACTGGCCAGAGCCTATGCCAGGGGATACTCCACGTTCAGCGAGAGCAACGGCACGTTCTCTGTACAAGCATCGTCGAGCATGCCGTTTGCCATWGCCTACGGATTCTTGAGGCACGGCTCGGTATTTTCAGCGGGRCAAACCGAGAGTTGGTGCAGGCGCAAGCGTCGCTTTCTTCCTCGAACGGTCAAGAAGCTCGTCAAATATCCAGAATGATAATTTGGATGGCATCCTCCAAACATACCAGCAGATTCTTATTCCCGAGGACGGCTTGTCCCAGCTCAAAGTGGTGACGTTTGGGATCGATGCGTCGAATCAAGGACAACACGGTAGCTCAAGAAATATTGAGAATCCMTGGAATCAAACCGGTCGAAGATAGTATCGTATCTTTTTACCAAAACTCGTGACAAAGAAACTTCAAAATCCAAAGTGAATTGAACTAGTGTCGCGCATCTAATTAGTAAGGTCGGCATYTGATACTGTACAAGTCGTGGAAGTCCTCCCTTTGGTTTCAAAACATGTTGATTAGAAAAGATCCAAGCGGTCTCCGACATGTTCTCGATCGTCCTGGGAATAGGACCAAACGATTGTGCGGCTGACTTCTTGTCTTGGTATTGAGATTCGTACTTATCCCTGATACGGCAATTTTGGTGAAAATGTAGTCAATCTGCCAACCGAGAGAACCTTGTTTGTGTGAAACAGTTTAAACCTCCAAATTACGGTGTTCATCAAATCTTCAATGGCTTGTGGCTTGTTTTTCATTGCCTCAAAAACCATAATTATCTTTCTCTGTTCACAAGTTCTATGGGCACAATCTTCACTTTCCTCTGCCACTTCTTGTGCTRTCAAGATTTTATCCTCACCTGGTTGTTTGGAACCAAAGAATCCTGCAGGTTGGAAATAGGAGGATGATTTAGTACTTCTACTACGGAAAGAAAAAAAGTGCTGGAGAACAATATACTAAAGACAAATAGAGTTTGGTCTCAGGAGGGAATAGTTTTTAAGAGAAAATGGAATGAAGAAAGTCATGAGATTACACGGGTACACTAGTGAGCAAAAAGTACCAGCAGGTACATTGGGAGGATGAAGCACACTAGCAGTACTACTAGTGGTACTAGTACTAGTTATGTTTTGTCATCACCAAGTATTGTGATTGATGGGAACAAGACATCCTAGCAGCCATGCTCCTCTGGGATTGCCACCCCTCATCAGAGCAAGTAGTAGTACTACTACTAGAAGCATCTATCTCCCAAAAACTGATGACTCTGGCTGACTTAGTACCCACCAGCAGTGCCTCTTGTTCTTCTACTAGAAAGAGCTCTTCAGGAGGTTAAGAAAAATGTTCATAACTTTTCTCAAGATACTAGTAGGAATCAGACAGTGCTCCTAGCTACTACTACTAGTACTACTTATAGTTGTATTCACAAACCAACCTTGCTGGATGTTCAGAAATTTGCAGTTCCTGTATTTTTCAATTTGCTCACTGACAAGAATCATGGAAGAAGTTGAAATATTAAGAAAAGACTAAAACAGTTTTGACTGTAATTGGTATTCCTCAAAGAGGAAGGGGGGTCTGGGGGTTGGATTTTCACAAAACTTCCCAGAAGGCTCTTTTTAGTTGTAGTAGAGCAGCTAGTAGGGTTTTGAAGTGTAAGAAATATTGTAAAACAACAAAGTTACAGGAATGAGACACCAGGCATATGATACTCAGCAAGAAACTTCTTGTTTCTTGCAATAAGAGGCTACTAGTAATCACCACCAGATCAACCCCGTCTCCCTCCCTGGTGGGGGGGATGCTTAGTAAGCAGTACAGTACAGTACTACTAGTTGTAAGGGGGGATGCTTTAGTAGTACTACAAGAAAAAACTAGTACTACTATTAGTACTATTAGTAGTACCTACTAGTGCGTACTACTATTAGTAGTACTACAGCTGGTGGTGGTTCTTGTACAGTTTCCAATTTGCTAGACTTGTGGTGGTACCATACTAGCACTTTGACTTCCACTGCCTCGGAGCAGACCAATTCTGTAGACCCAGACTTTGGCCCATTCTGAGTTTCAAATGATCGATCACAAAGGAATTGTTCAGTGCATAGTGCATGCTACTACTAGTAGAAAACATTTTTTATTTTTCAATTAAACCACCATTCGTATGTACGGTAGGTAGTACCATACCTGTAACCTGTGCCGGAGAGAATCGACATGAAACCGGTGAAAGGGACAGATTCATTCGATTCGATCGAGTCCATCAGAGTTGAACAACAAACAAACTCTCAAAACATCATGACAAACATCAATTTTTTCTTCGACGACACGTGAACAATACGTGAAAGGACAAAACAAAAACACCAAGAAGAGAAACAGTCTTTCTTTTTTAATGGACAACAGTTCTCTACCTAGGCAAAGGCTCGACGGAACGCGATCCAAAATAAAGTCAATAAAATCATTCACCATCGACTGTTTTCGCCACGATATACCACGGCGACGACAGTGATGATAACCAGAAGCGATGCTTCTTGTTCTTGCCGCTGCGACTCCGGTTTCAATTTCGAGGTTTGTCGCAGGAAAGGACAAAATAAATCGCGCCTGTCATTGAAGCAAGAATATCATTATCCATGGAGACGGAGAAAGACAAAAGTTGTCCGCAGAAGAGCAACATGCTTTCAAYGGAYGATTCCCACTTCTGGGATATTTTTMKCACTGGCTCTATCGTTATGGGTTTTTAGAATATTTCCTCCGACTACAAAACCTTCGAGTCAAGGATTTGCCGCATCTTGGACACAGCCGCTGCCAGCCAACATTAAGACAATACACATTAGAAGTTYGCGGGCAGCAAAGACCCYAACGGTGAATGGAATCATCTATTCACAGCGGCGACCGATAATTCATTCGCTCCAAAACGGAATTGCGCACAGTGAGAGTTCTCTCTATTCTGTTACTACTTCTGCTGATGCGTCTGTCACAACAGAGCCAGCGGATATGGACCAGGAACTCAGCAGGATATTGGGCTTCGTTGACAACCTCCTGTTAGCATCGCCGAACACTCTAGACAGAGATTCCATTCTAGATCGAATACGCAGCGAACACGAAACGGATTTTCGCACGGCAGAAGCTTCGTGTCTAGATATTGAAGATGCAGCGACGAGTACAACCATCGGCTTATCGACGCCCCCGCTCTCTTTTGAACGAGTTGGATGCTCCCCCATTCCAAATAGTTCAAACAGCGACCAGATCGAGGCAGTACAAGGCACTGGGATGCCCCACAACAATGATTACTTGTCATCGATATCACCACCCAACTCACCCATTGCTTCATCGTCACCCGATGATTCTTATCCATTCCTCGCGATACGATCTACGGAGCCGGTACTAGATGCTTCGGATGTTGATRCCATTCGGTCAGCGGCTGAAGATGTTTGGTCTGCCGAAAGCACTCATTCCGAATTTTCTAGCAGGTTCACTTATCAATACAGCGGAAATTCCGAAGCACACGTCTTYGATTTTGGCGCCGATGATGACTCTGCTGGAGCAAAGGCGGTTTCCGCTCTGAACAAGGCTCTGCATACSAAAATTTACCCCATGATCCGAGAGGCTTTCTTCCCGGATYGTCRGCAGAGTGTTACCGAAAACGAGGTTAACGACGAAACGATACTCTTTGTCTACGATGCCCTGGTCATTCGATACAATGCCACCGCTGCCGCCGAAGCGTCATACGYAGATGCCAGCGAGRCAGAGACCTCAGAAATTTCCGCAGGACAACCCCTCCATCGAGATTTGGGATTGGTATCCGTCAATATYATGCTCAACTCCGATCGGGAGTTTGAAGGAGGAGGCACCTTTTTTGAAAACCAGCTCTGGAATCCAGATGCGGAAYGGAAAGRGAGAGAAGAAATTGATGATCCCTCACTAGATACAACGCCGTTGAAGCCACTYGGGGTCGGATATTGCTTGGCACATTCGGCCTCGGAACGSCACGCMGGGGCCGGAACGAAAAAGGGCGTTCGGGATATTTTAGTCCTCTTTGTCTCCGCTGCAAACTTGAAAACGAACACAAGCAAGGAACACGAAATAGCAACGAAGAACACCAGCGTCCGGGCACCCGCGGAGCTTTCCTCTTTGCGACTCAAGAGTTGCCGTTCCTTTTGCAACGGAAACGAAATGATTTATAATAAACCACAAAATCCATCCCCCGAACAAGAAGGGGAACTAGACCAACKAAAGATGGAAATTAGACGCCATCAATCCGTCTTGTTGTGCCGAATTTTACACCAGCGATTGGCAGTGTGCAGCACGRAAGAATCAGTTTCGWMCTCAGAAATTGTTGGTCGCAGCTTGCTCTCTACGAATGCSAACTACAWTTACGACGGAGAAGCTCTACAATAYCTAGGGACCGCTCTCATGGAATATTCCGACTTCTGGCASGCCATAATCGGCGACGTCGGTGGAGTTGGTGATGGTGATGCTGCATGTCAGAACAACACCCTCAATGACAMAATTGATATACTTAAGACCGCCTCTGATTGCTTCCTTGCAGCATCTCTAATGACGCCTTGCGATTCACGTGTCTTTAACAATCAAGGAATAGTAATTGGRAAGATTCGTGGAATGATTGACGCCGATCAGCAGCACAGTGTCCTTCTTCGACGTTACGGCGAGGATGAAGAAGAACGTGCGTATAGAAAGGGGTTGAAAATCCTTCACGGGTCCTTGAACGCGGGATGCGCGGATATCGASCGTCATCTAGAATCATTACTGCTAAACTACGGATTGTTCTTATCAAATCTTGATCGATTCGAAGACGCAGTAGATGTACTTGGCCRTTTCGCCGCAGATGCGACAACTGCAGAWGTGGACACGACGAATGACACAGAAACAGTGAGATCAAATGCAGTTCGCTTGTGGCGCTACTGCAAGCTACGATTGGCTCAGTGACAAATGAGAAGGGAAAGCTTCTAATAATTTCAGTATTGAAGAAAAAGAACACAAAATCACCCGAAAACTGCAGATGTGGACACGACGAATGACGCATTAACAGTGAGATCAAATGCAGTTCGCTCGAATGACACAGGAACAGTGAGATCAAATGCAGTTCGCTTGTGGCGCTAATGCAAGCTACGATTGGCTCAGTGACAAATGAGAAGGGCAAGCTTCTAATAATTTCAGTATTGAAGAAAAAGAACACAAAATCACGCGAATACAATCCTGTGCTCTTCGTCGTTCGAAATGCTTTGCAGTTTCGTAATATGTCATATTTAAATCGACGATGGGGCAACAGTAATGTAATCCTACGATACAAAAGCTCAACCGAAAAGTTGGAGGAGTAATTGTAGATTATTATTTCTTAGTACTCCAGCTTGCTCTGTGATGACTAAGAAACCAATTTTTATMAGTATATTTCGAGGTTCGAAGCGTCAGAACCTTAAGTATTTTCTCTGAATTACAAGAATATTGAACTCGAGTTTTTGGTCATTGGTATGTTTAATATTTATCTACTCGAGATTCTACGGACAATGTTCGGAAGGCTTCTCATCATTCGACCTCTCACGAAACATCRAGTAATCGGGATTGAGTATGACATTACTGTAATTAAGCTTCACAGGTGTAATGATACTTCTTTTCTACTTCTAATCCAATTTACTTAATGCTCTCTGCAATCGTCACCGAATACAAATTACCATAGCGGTTTCATGTTCTCAAATTCTGTCCAATTTCAAGGGAATGCTATTTTACACATCGTAATCATAGCCACACTACACAAAAAAATTAATTGTGGTCACAAATGCACTTGTATTGAAGAAAGTGGGAACCTTGGACGCCACGACACGCAARCCGGAAAACAAATATTGACAGAAGCGGTCAACTTCACAAGAGCACCAAACAAACACAACCATTGCTTCCTACAGAGAATAACCACAGTTACTACTAGAATGCCACCGAAATCCTCTGTATCGACAACCTCGATTTGTGAAATGRACATGAAGGCTGCAGCTGATTACGACCCGAAGGCCGTTACCTCCATGTTATCGGAAGAATTGATGAAACTGAACTCTGAGGATCGGAACCAAATAACGGAAGAGATGCACGGAGTCCGAAACATGTCGCTGCAAGAGACACCCGATGTGCAAACCAGAGCACTAGGAATGCTGCAAAACCAATTAGACCGGATGCCACCGTCGAAAAAGGCCGCGTATGACAAGGCGCAAGGCCTCGAGAAAACCTACGTGAACGACGATAAATTTCGGCTTCGTTTTCTCCGGGCGGAGCTGTTTGATGTCGACCGGGCCGCGGAACGAATGACGTCGCATCTGGATTTGATTCTGGAGTTGTTTGGCGATGAGGTCCTCGCGAGGCCTCTGAGGACCACTGACTTTAAGGGAAAGTTAGTAAAAAGGATCCTRCSAGGTGGTCTAGTACAATTGCTCCCTTACCGAGACCGCAGTGGACGGCGGGTGATGGTGATTCTCTCTGACGTTATGTCCTATARTCACATCGCGAGGGTACGTCGTGCGTAGCGGTGTATCATTAAAGCGGARTTTGGGTTGCAACCCAGCGATTTCCACCAAATATCTAACATTGTATYATTACCATACCGTGCTGCTTTCCAAATAACTWCACAGGTCAAGATATTTCTTTATGTCTTGACGGCTGCTGCGGAGTGCGAAGAGACGCAGAAAAAAGGGGTTATATTCGTCATGTGGCCGGGGACGGATCGAACGATTCGGATTCCGGAAACAGAAGAAAGGGCCATCTGYAGAAAGTCATTTGCGGCTTTTCCTCTACGCGTGGTCAGCGTTCACTTTTGCTGGCCGGACACGCATTTCTTCCATATGGTGAAATACTTTTTCGTCCTTGTGATGGGACCTTCTCTTMGGGTTCGAGTAAACTTCCATAGTGGTGAGTAGTTCTGTTGTGAGTCGTTATTGAAATCTATTAAAAGCGTCCAACTAAAAATCACAATCTTAACAATTACATTCATTCCCTCTCTTGTGTTGTTTTTAGGAGAACGTCAGGAACTAACATACAAGCTCATGGGATTTGGTATCCCAGTACAACTGCTGCCAACAACGGAAAGTGGTGCCATCAAAACAAAAAACCAYACGCAATGGTTGAAAACACGATGTTTTTTCGAAAAGAACGCCGGCAAGAATCCGACCACAACACCCGGCGAGCTCATTGGTGCCATTGAGTGYCCAGCCCTACACGATGTTCTCTACGAGAGAAGCAAGCCATGTACTTTTCACCCTGGAAATTCTTTCTTCAAGGAACTAATCGAGGAAAATAAAGAAGAACATGCAGTACTGTCGCAAACCGGAAAGCGCAATTTCTCGTGGTCCATCGTCGAWAAAGTGGAGAAGAACAATGGTCGCTTCTTAACGTGGGATCGACGAGGCTTTTGGATCAAGCTCGACGACCGATCTGAGATTCGATTGAAGGTGGCAACATCTCTGAGGGACTTCAACAAACACGCTCGTGCCCTGGYCAAGTGCCAAACAGTATCGAGTGTCTGCAAGGTCAGTTTCGACGATGGCCAGTATCTCAARAARAGGCGGATCGTTGTCACCGACGACGAATCCTCGAATGTTTCTCTTTGTGAGAGGGCATCAAATTGCGAATCTTTTYATGGAACCTGCCTCCCAGATTTACCAATATYCAGATCGAAGGGATACGACGAAACGAGGAATAGGTTGRCCTCGGGGYTTCCAATCGACGACATTTCTCTTCTTTCATATACSCCGAGGAGTGCATGATTCAGGCTACCACAGTGCATATTTTACAGTCACTTCACATAAATATTATACTTGGCTCGGTATCTTTTATATCTGATTGCATSAACGACAGCACTTGTACCATATTTTTAAATTATGTAATCAAAAYGTATTTATATTTTAAGAAAATGGAGACAGTATTTTCCGCTGTGGGCCATTCTGTTTCTYGAAGAATTGCACCATGTGTTTCATGGTAYGACTTCAGTGGAAAGTAGACGTTAATTTTGCAATTTGCAAGACAACCAAGGGGGAACTTCTAGTTTGTTCAGTGATGTTTAAAAGTCTTGGCGCCCTCCGATCGTATCGGATGCCGTTCTGTCCTWTCGTGTGGGTTGCTTCCACAGTTCATGTTTTAGGATAGGCCGACATAGGTAGTACGATACCTATTGTCTACTATTCATGCCGACATCGCGGCCAGAGAGTGGAATACTGAGAACCGTTGCGAATTTCTCGGCATGAATCATGTCATTATGAAGTTAAGCTTTTATCATGACTACTATTCTACTAAGTTCCATATTTTTTGAGCATTTTTCTTTTTTTGGAATCGTATTATATTCTTTCTTCCCTTAGGCCTCCTTTTCTTTCCTGAGTCGTTCGCGCTCCTTTCGTTCGGTCTCGTTCATTTGACGGCCAACATACTTTAGGATCTCATCGATAATAATGACRGGGAAAGAGAACAAGAAGACCAAAATCCAGTCTACCGCGTCGTGGGGGCTGATCGAAAAGACAGTGGCCATCCAAGGGACGTAGAGAATCATGAAGTGCAGAATGAACGACGAGGCCATAGCCAGCAACAAGTACGGGTTGACCCATGGGGGGATAGTCAGCAATGATCCGTCTTCAGAAACGGCATTGAGAGCATTGAACATCTCGATTGTCACTAGAACACTCAACGAGAGAGTACTGGCCTTCATCTTGCCCTTGGTAAAGTAAGAGCAAGGATCAGTGCTAAAGTCCTCAATGAGGCCATTCCCAGTGTTATCGAAGTCGTTGACGGAAAATCCTTCGAAGATGGTCCCGACGGCTTCTTCACCGGTGCGGCAGTGTCCCCAACGTGTTAACTGGTCGTAACTGACCATAGAATGTCCGTCGTAGCTGCTTCCGAGTAATTCCATGATGGAAGGTCCCAACCAGTTGACAAATCCCTCGTATTCAGTGTACCAAAAGACAAAGATTCCAACCGTTGCAAATCCAACGTACAAGCCAATCACCATGTATCGGAAGAATACCCAATTCGTAATGAGAGAATCGTCCTTTCCACGGGGTGGCTTGAGCATGACGTCCGGGTCAGGGGGGTTGAATCCAAGAGCGGTAGCKGGAGGACCGTCTGTCACAAGGTTAACCCAAAGAAGCTGAACAGGAATGAGTCCCTCGGGACATCCAATGGTCGATGTCAAAAAGATAGAAACAACCTCTCCAATGTTGGAAGAAATCATGTACCGAATGAATGCCTTCATGTTGGAATAGATGGATCTGCCCTCTTCGACCGCTGAAACAATTGTGGCAAAGTTGTCGTCGGCCAAAATCATATCAGAAGCCTCCTTGGCGACCTCCGTTCCAGCGATTCCCATGGCAATACCGATGGAGGCCTGCTTGAGGGCTGGTGCATCATTGACTCCATCCCCGGTCATTGCAGGAACTTCTCCGCAMGATCGAAGAAGCTTGACCAGTAATTGCTTGTCTCGGGGTTCCGTTCGGGAGAACACTCTGGAGCCACCTCCGTGCATAATCAAGTGCGCACGCTGGTCGTCACTGATCGAACCGTGGAAGAATTCGGCACCCGTGAACGATTTGCCGGTGACTTTTTCGTCGTGTTCAAAGATTCCGACCTCGCGGGCAATGGCTTCGGCGGTAGTCTTGTTGTCTCCCGTAATCATGATCACCCGGATTCCGGCGTCCTGGCAACGCTGAATGGCCGATCGAACTTCGGGACGGGGTGGATCCTTGATGCCGGTCAATCCCACAAAGGTCAATCCGGATTCGATTTGAGCGTACTCGTCGAGGTTCAAGAGCTGAGAAGGCAATTGCTCCTTTGGAGGCATGTTGGTCTTGATGGCCATACCGAGAACACGAAGCGGTCTCTTGGACATGTCTGTGACGCGATCTGCCAAGGTCTGTCGATCCTTGGCCGACATAGGTTGAACAGATCCATCGGGGCGCATGATGCTGGTGCATCGCTCCAATAGAAGCTCGCCGGCTCCCTTGACGAACAAAACACGGTCTCCCGTCGYCTTGTTCTTGCACAGGACGGACATCGACTTGCGGTCTCTGCTGAATTCGAGAGTGGCTTCCTTGTCGAACTGTCCCTGGAAAGACTTTCCGAAGTAATCGGCGACTTCGACCTCGTTGGAAGGGGCGGATTGACCAGGAAGGCCCATCTTCTCCACTAGGCACTTGAGTGCGGCTTCGGTGGGTTCTCCGACGCGAACGTACTTTCCTTCCGAGTAACGAATGACCGCTTCGTTACAGAGACTGCAAACGTTGGCCATTTGCTCCAAGTTTCCAGTGGTGGAAGTGTAGTTTTGGACAACTCCGTCCGTGGGGGCGTATCCGGTTCCCGTCACGGAGAATTCCTGGAGGTCTCCCTCCTGGGCGTCGGGAACGACCAATGCCTCTACAACCATTTGGTTGGTGGTAAGGGTACCAGTCTTGTCCGAACAGATGACGGTACAGCAACCAAGAGTTTCAACGGATGGCAGTTTTCTTACAATCGCGTTGCGCTTGACCATCTTCTTGGTACCTAGCGCCAGACACAGAGTGATGACGGCGGGAAGTCCCTCGGGAATGGCAGCTACTCCCAAAGCAACGGCAATCTTGAGATAATAGATGCATCCCTTGAAGACACCACCAAAGACAGGATCGAAAAACTGGTTGAAATTCATAATCCATACCAAGACGCAAATGCCGGTGATGACTTGCGTGAGCAAATCTCCAAACTCGTCGAGTTTCTGGTTGAGGGGGGTCTTCTCGGCATCTTCCGAAGCCTCCGTGACGGCAGACTGGATCTTTCCGATTTCCGTGGTCATTCCCGTGGAGGTAACGACTCCAATTGCCTTTCCTCCGCTAATGGTAGTTCCCGCAAAGACCATGTTCTTTTGGTCAGAGATCTTTTCTCCACTGGAAATGGAATCAGTGGTCTTGAGGACCGTCTCGGACTCGCCGGTCAGAGCACCTTCATCGCTGCGCAGAGTGGCCGTAAGGAGCTTGCAGAGACGGACGTCTGCCGGAGCCCGGTCTCCCACGCTGATCTTGACAATGTCTCCAGGGACCAATTCTTCGGTGGGAAGTTCGTCCTGCCAGACTCCGTCCCGCAGGCAGGGGGTGTGCAGGGACTGCATCTTTTTGAGGGCCTCGAGGGCGTTCTCGGCGTTGGACTCTTGCCAGACACCGACAATGGCATTGATGATGAGAATCAACAAAATCACTGCCGGTTCGACAAAGGCTTCTACCCAGTGATCGACCTCTTCGAAGAAAGCCAAGACGAACGAAAGCAAGGCAGCTCCCAGGAGAATCTGGACGAGCTTGTCATCGAATTGTTCCAAGACCAATTGCCAAAGCGGGGTCTTCTCCTCGTGTTCGAGTTCGTTGGTTCCGTATTTCTTTCGGAGCTCCAAAACCTGGGCTTCAGAAAGACCTTGGTCGAGGGAAACCCCATATTCCTTCAAGACGTCCTCGGCAGAGGCCTTGTAGGGTTGCGACATGATGATTTGTTTAGAGCGTTTCTCTATCGTGCGATGGATGGTGTTCAGAGAGGAAGTCAACGCGGAGAGGAATTAACTGCTGGTTTACAGCAACTTTCCGTGTTGTTGTTTTTTCTCAACTCAGCACAAATGTGTATTTTGCTTTCGTTAGTTCCAACAAACTATGTTAAGAAACCAGAGCAATGACTGCCGTGTGATACAATWCCTTCTCGTACCGTGAAGTGCGAATTTTGTCGGAGGGTGCAAGCAACGGATGGATCGATCAACGGTGCTTCGCTCAATCCACAGTTTTCGTTTTGCATTCTCGGTGGACAGAGGACGCACACGGGAGGTTTGCRAAGACGTAGGGGTTTACTSTACGTTACTTTAACGTACCGTAGCGACGCAGGATTACCATAAATAATTGCCCAAAAATCTTCGATCTCGTAGAGTCCCGTACGGTATGATGTCAAGCCAAAAGTGACAGGTGGAACGAGCGCGCGTKCGCTTCAAGTACGTAGTGGTACAGTACGAGGCAGCAACAAAATATTTGATGTGCCACACCCGCGTGAATCAAAGATTTGTTGTTGAAAATGACAGTACGTACCGACCAATGGATTGGGTACAGTGTGGTAGTAAGTCTTTTTTCCTCTCGTGCTCSTCGTTCGGAGTGCGCCTCCAACGGCTCTATTCGAGGCAGGCGGTCATTTCAACGCTTCTAAGGGGCACAATGACACGTGAGCAAAATGACCATGATCGAAAACTCGATGGAACAAAATCTTAAATTGAACGATGACCTTCAAGGGATATTACAAGTGCTTCTTACTACAGTA